CAAGCCCAAGAGCACCTCCGTCAACCATGGCAGGACCACCGGCAGCACAACCTCCACCTCCTTTGGAGATGCCGACATCACCAGTGACCACCAGGTCCAGATCCAGAGCCCCAACAGTGGCTGAACCTAGTGAAGAGCCGATGATTCCCTCTGGACGTGAGACACCACATCCACCAGCAGAGGCACCACCGCCCCCGGCTCCAAATCCAAGACCTGTCTTGGACCCCACCACTGCCTCCTTGTATGAGACGGTTGATGCAGAGACATTCAGCCAGCGTCGTGCTAGATTCAACCGACAAGAGACGCTCAGCTTTGGACCACTCCGAAGCCTACGGCCACCACCTGCACAACCATATGAACTGCCTACACCATCGGCAGAACCAGTCAGCACGGAAGAGCCGCCCCCTGCAGCCAGTGCCGATCCCGACCTCTCAACGGCCGATCGAGCCCCTGGGCATGCATTGCTGAATCATGCCTTCCAGGTCACCGATTTGCAAGCCCACGGACTACCTCAAGGCTGGTCCTTTCATGATGGCTACTTCCACCTGGATAAACGGCCTCGAGACTACTGGGAAGTGAAAGCTGGCTGTCTCATTCGACATCATCTCGTGCCAAGGAGACACAAACTGTGCTTGCACGAGCTACCCAAGGACAGTCCCTACCACCACAACCAGCTTGATCAAGTCCGAGTCACCGTGATGTATGACAACAACGGCAAAAGCCATCAGATCACCGATGACGGCACTGATTCACATCCTATGGATCGCACCTGGACAGGACTCAGCATCTTCCAGATCAAGGGCGACATCCGACGTGAACTGGCCATGTATGCCAAAGCCCCACTACAAGGAGCACGTCAGATGGGCAAGACTGCCAAGATGCAGCACGCCAAAACCTTCAAGAAGGACAAGAACAAGAACAACCTCACAGAGCGTCACATGACGCCAGATGAACGTGCCCAGTTCAAGGCCGCCAAGGTCAAGGAATTGCAAAGCTTCTTCGACAACCAAGTGTGGCAGTTCGAGACCACCCATGAAGCAGAGCCCAGCCGGACTTTGACAAGTCGCATGCTGCTCAAATGGTCAAAGAATCCCGATGGAAGTCCAAGGGCGAAGGCCCGTTTGATCGTCAGAGGATTTCAAGATCCCGATGCCTGGGAGGGCACTGTTCCTACATCCTCTCCAACGACGACCCGGCTGTCGAGATCTATGTTGCTCAGCCTGGCTTCCACGATGAACTGGCCAATTTGGACTTCAGACATTGCCACGGCTTTCTTGCAAGGCAAACCGCAAAGCAGGAAACTATGGGTACAACTCCCAAACGAATGCCTGGAACTGCTTGGAGCATCCCCCGACACACGGATGCTACTCCTGAAGCCCTGCTATGGTCAGATAGATGCCCCAAGAGCTTGGTACCTGGCCGCCGTGGACAAGCTGAAGGGCATGGGGTTGAAACAACATCCACAAGATCCCTGCTGCTTCCTCATGTATGAAGGCGAGCTCAACCCTGAGTTTGACCCTGCTGCACCGGCGCCGCACTTGTTGGGCCCGCATGGTCTTTGTGGCATGGTGATCATGCACGTGGACGACATGCTTGGTTGTGGCTCCACCACCTCGCAGTGCTACAATGACACCCTGGCCAAGCTCAAAAGCTCTTTCACCTTCCGTGAATGGAAGACAGGTGATGATGGGAAGCCCCTGACTTACTGTGGCTGCGACATCTACCTCAATGAGGACGGAAGCTTCATGCTCAACCAAAAGAGCTATCTTGGCAAAGTGAAGCCAATCTCCTACGACCGGAAGCGCAACCTCACAGAGTCTTTGAACCAAAAGGAAATCACACAGCTGCGTGGCTTGCTAGGTTCCTTACAATGGCCTGCAGTGCAATCTAGCCCACACCTACAGAGCAGTACATCCATTTTGAGTGGCTATGTCAACAAAGCATGTTTGCAAACTGTAGCCGATACCAATCGTCTACTGCGTTTCGCTAAGGAGCATGCTGATGTTGGTTTGCACTATGCCCATCTGGGCCCTGTTGAGGAGCTTCGCATGGTGTGTTTTTTTTGATGCTGCATTCGCCACAAGGAGTGATGGTTCATCACAAGCTGGCTATGTGATCATGCTGTTGCACCAAAGCCTGCTTGAAGCGAATGGCCCTGAAGGCGCCTACCACATCCTCGACTGGCGCAGCATGAAGACACCGAGGATTGCTCGGTCATCGCTTGGCGCGGAAGCTCAAAGTGGAGGACAGGCATGTGACGCCCTCGAACATGCCAGCATCTACTGGAGTTTGCTCATGGACCCTCGGCAGAGCTTGCAGCACGTCTTGAATGCCCCGTCGCTGTTGGCCCCAGTCATGGTCACGGACGCCAAGGCTTTGTTCGACTCCTACCACAGAGAAGGTGTGTCAAGTTCTGTGGTCGACAAAAGGGTCTCTTTGGAGATCAGGGTCATGAAGGACCGCCTCAGTGCTTTGGGCGGCAACCTTCGGTGGATGTCCTCCGAACGACAGATCGCAGATGGTCTGACAAAAGAGGCTGCACGGCTTCTCCTGGCACAACGACTTCGTCATGGTCGACTCAAGCTGGTATGGGATCCCTCATACAAAGCCGCGAAGAAAAAGACGAAAGAAGAACTTCAGCAGAGCCGACTGGAGAGTGTTCAGGAAAGCCCCAAGGTTCAGTTTGAGGACGAGAGCATCAGCCAGCCCGACAACCTGGACCCACACGAGCCCTTTGAGACTGAAGAAATTGAGCACAATGTTGATGAGCACCTGCTTGATGAAGACCAGGACCCAACGAATGAACAGGTCCTTGAGAATGTCATGTGTGCTCGCACCGATGACGCCATCGTGTATGTCAACCGTAGGTCCAGCCATGTCGTGCCTGGCCGCTTGACTAAGCCCTGTGCAGGCTTCATGAAGTACCTCCTCCAGCTCCTTTGCTTGGTTGTGATGGTTCCCCAGCTAGTTGTTGGCACCGACCTCACCACCGTAAAGAAAGAAGAAGTTGACTTTGTGGGAATGATTTTGTTCACCGGCTTCCTCATGGTCATGAGCTCAGCATTCCTGGCTGGCCGTTGGACCCGCCAACCTGGACGCCCTGTGGTGGCAGAAGCTGCAGTTCAAAAGGACGAGTTGGTGATTCACTCCCGCCTTCGTGAAGAGCTGGCGAAAGCAAAAGAAGAAGTGTCTCTATGGCGCAACCGCGCTGTGCAGTTCAAGTCCTCAGCTTCTGAAAGTCGAGCTGCTGCTGACATGGTGCTAGCGTACCAGTGCACAGCAGAGAACCTGCTGAGCGAGGCCAATGATCTCCTTCGCATGTGCATCAGGCAGATGGATGAGCACTCCAACGACTGCCCCTTTTACCAGAAGATCTGGATGTCAAGGCATGGTCATCGATGGCATGCCACTCCTGAGTGCACCTCTCTGGTTGGTCGAGAAGCATCGTCCTTTCGGATGATTGAGAGATGCCATCTGTGCAGCGTCCGCATGCTGCCACCGGATCTGACCGATCCACGAGAAGGAGAGCCCGCAAGGGTGCTGGTTTTTCGCTGGCTGGACGCCTACGAGCAGCGACTTTTAGACACATGAGGAAAAGAACTTTTTCCCCGTGTGAAGTGTACGCTGTACACTTAGGTTCTTGTCAATGAACCTGTTTCATGTCACCCGCAACTCACCTCTCAAGCATGGGAGGGTTCATGCGCGCTGAAAAGGCGCGGCCGTGAGGATTACTGATCCTCGTGCTTTCTTTTTCGACACGGACTTCGTTCGCCGTGCACGACAAGTTCACATATATTGTTTTTTTCCATAATCATTCTTTCTGACACAACCTCTTTCGGACTCGACGAAAGGACATGCCGCCCGTGCCCTCGAACAGAAAGAGATGAGGAGAATGGCGCAGAGAGAAAAAGGAAAAGGTGCAAATAATGGACGCAGAGAATGCCGTGCCGAACAATTGCGTGTTGACGTGTGTGTTGCCAGTCCGGAGTTTATTAGTATTTTTCCTGAAGGTTGTGAGGGTACAGTGTACAGCCTATCCTCGCTTTTTTAACAAAAAGTTCGTTTAATGGTATACACCTTGACCTCTCAGGCCCTTGGGTGAAGGTCGCATGACCTGTTTGCACGATGGTGCTGGGAGCTCAAAGACTGTCAGAACTGGTTGGGTGGAACTGGCCGTCTTGCTCCTAGTAGCGATGCCAGGAGACCCCAGTAGCGTCCTTGCTCCTAGTAGTAAGGCCAGGAGCCCCTAGTAGCGTCCTTGCCTTGTTGCTTGGCCGTCTTTTGGCTCAGAAACCTGTAGCTGTAGCTGCAAAAGTGGGTGGACCATGACCGAGAATGCCAGAGAATGTGTGACAGCGGTGGGAAAGAGGCATGACGGATCATAATTGCCAAGGAGAGGGGGCTTCTAAAATTCTAAAAGGATCACAAGGCCTGTGGATTTGACCCCTGACGGCAGCATACACAAAAGCCTTGGAATTTTTAGGCTGGGAATCCGAAGTTCGATTTTCAAGAACTACGTAGGTTTTTACTTTTTTACAGGAGCCTTCAGAGAGAGAGAGAGAGAGAGAGGGACAAGCCCGACACATCAGCAAAGTTCTTAGGAAAAGCGTGACGCGTTACCTTGGATCAAGCGCAGAAAAAGCAGTGAGGAACGCACCAAGAACAATCGATTCGCCCGATTCACAGCGTAGAAGCACCTCGCCATGCCTTCAAGGCCGTGCAAAGTTCATTTCGTGTGCTCATTGGCCTCGCAATCCCTCCAAGCGTTTCACAATGGGAGGAGGTTGATGCTTCAGAGGGACTCGTTCTTAGTTCCGTGACCCGGGCGGAACGGTGGCAGGTTCGTTCTGTCCAGGTGGGGCACGGTGGCTGCTTGGCATCGATGTCTGCCAACTCCACTCACTTTCTGCAAGCGATATGGCACGTGGATTTGTTAGATCAACACAGTGAATCTGTGAGCAAACTTGGAAAATCGATAGAAGTGGCCCCAGGCGTTGTAGATGTTGCTTAGAAGCCTTTGTTTTCTGCTGCGCTGCTTGCTATCCTCGAAGCATGGTGCTGTTGAGGTCTTGCCGGCTCTGCTCACAGTAGCCTTCTTGAGCGGCAGTCGCCCTGCTGCTGTCCCGAGGCCGAGCGCCAAGACATAGCAACGTGGGCGATGAACATGTGGTGGCCATGGTGGCGACATCATGTTCTTCTAAAGTCAATGTAGCACTTATACCATTTGTGATTTGTACCTGTTGAAGGCCATTGCTGTTAGGTTGAAGGCCATTGCTATTAGGTTGGAGGCCATCGCTTGTAGGTTGGAGGCCATCGCTATTAGGTTTGAGGCCAGGGCTTTTAGGTTGGAGGCCATCGCTAGTAGCGCTTTGGTTGGAGGTCATGGCAGGTTGGAGGACATCGCTTCTAGATTGGAGGCCATCGCAAGTAGGTTGGAGGCCATTGCTATTTGGTTGGAGACGATCGCTATATATCGCTATCAGGTTGGAGGCCATCACTATTAGGTTGAAGGTCATTGCTAGTAGGTTGAAGGCCGTCGCTATGAGGTTGAAGGCCATCGCTAGTAGGTTGGAGGTCATCCCTATTAGATTGGAGGCCATCGCTATTAGGTTGGAGGCCATCGCTATTCCCCTGAGCACCGAATATGGATTACAATCAATATGTTCATTTTCACATTGATTCTTCTATGAAATCAATTTCAGCATATTGATTGGATTGATTGTAAAATCAATCAAAAAACTTAAGAGTTTCCACAGAAAAAACAATACCACAGCATCAGAGTTTCAACACCAAAATCAATATGAACATCTAGACAAAAATCAATATGAATCAATATGAAAGTGCAGGCAGGCACCTCTTTTCCTCAGACATTTGGAGGAGGCTGTTTAGTGCGTACGTGGGGAAACATGAGTTGATTTGACCAGTGTTTTCTGACTGAGCTTGTCCCAGGGTCCCAGACCTCATCGTCGCTCAGCTGTTTCACCATCAAAGCAAGGTTGGAGATTGAATGTTTTCCCGTCAAAGGCAGTGCAACAGGCTCCAGTGCTACTTATCAGTTGTGTTGCCCATTGCTTTTCATGTTCGCCAATTATTCGCGCCCAGGTTCCACCAAATCGATGCGGCAGTGGCAACTTACACGAACTCAACTCACACCAAGTCAACAGCTCACCAACTCATCTCAAACCAACTCAACTCACACCATCTCGTGCCGATGACCCTGACGCGTGTGCGGATCCGAGCGCATGGCAGACAGCGTGAGCTGTCTGTGCCTTCAGCTCAAGCAGCTGGCCGCGTGCGGGCGCTGCGGGCTGCGGCGGCTGGCAGCCGGAAGCGGGTCATGTTGGCCGTGCCCCTTGGTACGAATTATATAAGCCATCGACTTGTAACATGGGTTTCACATCAGGAGGGCGACCTTCTAGTTCTGATCAGCGGGGTGAGTGCTGAGCTGCCTCCTGCTTTTTGCGACGCGTTGGCTGGAAGACAAGCTGGGCGTAGTCTGGTTGCAATTGTTGCTGTCAAGTCCCTTCTTGCTCCCTGGCCTAATTGAATGTGGCAATGAGTTTTCTTGTGCGACCACCACAAGAATGGCTAGCAGCTGCTGCTGAGTCTGGGGAAAGTGTTGCTCCAAGAACCTCTAAGGATCCCATGGAGTACTTCCCTTCGGCGTGGCCACGTGCTGATTGCATCTACCGACGCGCCAGAGAGTGTGATCCACCAAAGTCCCGATTTGGTGACTTCGCACTCAGGCGCGCAGTGTTTGCTTTTTGCCAGGTTATGTTTTTTTTCCTTTCCTTCACTTCTCCGTGCCCTCTTCTCCCTTTCGCTTCCTCCCCTTTCACTTTCCTTTTTCCAGCCACTTCAAAGGCCATTGACCCCTTCTCAGAAGAGACGAGTGGCAGGGAAAACATTGCAGCCGCACCCCCTCCACGTTCCGTGCTGCCTTTGCAAGGATGTTTAGTAGATTGTTTGGTTGTGTTTTGTCCTGCCATCAGGGCTGACCGTCGCAGAGACGCGGGCCACGTCCCCCATGTGCGGGAGGTTTCCGCCCCGGTGATCGTGGCCGATGCTTTAGGGGCACCGCTATAGGTCTTGGGCATAACAATCAGTGTCTCTGCTATTAGTCTGTGGTGACGCGTGACTTCGTGAAACACCACCGTCATGGGCCATATCAAGCGCTCTCTTTTATCTGGGCGTCGGAAAATCTTTTTGCAATGCCCAGGGCGCTCCTGAGCTGAGTCTCGCCTTTCAGAGGCGGCGGGGCGCTTGGGGTGCCTTGTCTGCGCGTGGCTGCAGGACCTATGACGATTGTTGCAGCAACCACTCAGAACAGCTTGCGACGAAGCTTCTTGTGGCTATTGTAGTTTGATTCAGTTTTCTTCGACCAGGATCTTGCCTATGGATCGGCTGCTGCGAAAAGAGCTTGGCAGTGCACCTTGGACAAACAAAAAAAAGGCAAGCAGCAGCAAATTATTTTATTGGCTGACAAAGAAATCAGATCCTTTCAACTGTCGGCTCAGCGCAGCGTTTGCAGAGGAAGTGATCTCAAAGCTGGAGGAAGGGGCGACCCCTTTTATACATCTTACATGTTGTTATTTTCCCTCTTTCAATTGCATTGTTCGTGATGACTTCTCGGGTTGGGGCCAAAAACACAGCTAGACATTGAGCTCTTGGACAACGCCTTTTGCCAATTGAGGCGATCCGTGGCGCTGGATCTTCTTGAGGAATCCTGGCAGACCATTGCCCCGCATTAAGGAAGGTTGTTTTTGCGTGGGTTGCAGTAGGAAAAGTGTTTGTGTAACCAACCAGTTCATGCTGTTTCTTTTACCGTGCTATTTATGCTTTTTTTCACATAAGCCGGGGGTTATCCACAGCCCCGACTGATGACCCAACGAAGTAAGCTGGTTTGACTGTTTTATTCACAGCCTGTTTCAGGTGAAGCTCCGGTACAGACAGTCAGTTTGATTGACATGCCACCAAGGTTCCTTAGGATTCAGGCCTTCCTACCTGAACGTTCCGCCTTTCTCATCGTAATTCATCCAACAGTGATTGCGTTGGGTTTTTGCTGGAATGCCTTGCGGATTTTAGATTGGTCAACCACTCATCCAACGATAACAATCGGCTTTTTCTTGCGCCAACTTGTTTTCCAACGAAGGGCGGATCACAGGTTCCCGTCAGGTGTTCAGATGGTTTCGGTTGTGGTGATTTGGAGTTGGAGCTGCTTCATTGCTGTTCCCTCCGGCCAGCCACCGCCCAGTCCTTTCGCGCCAGCCACACAACTTGCGGCTGCAGTTGCAATCGATGGACCGTAGATGGGGGCCACAGAAGCCATGGACTGGTGCCGACGATGTTTGAAAAGGAAATCTCTCGACCCTAGAGATTGGCGCGACATTTGAGAATCGGAGGGTCCAAGAGGAAATTCAGCTGCGAGTGACTCCTCGGTGGAGAGTGCTGCAGCGGGGGAGTGGGAGTCTCAAAAAGTTTTACTGTCAAGATCTGACAGGCTCTAGGGGACGACGTGACAAGAACACCCACGCACGCCGGAAAACACCTTGAGGCCGATGTCCTTCGTTAACTGAAATATGGTTTAGTATGGACAGTTTGTATTGCAAAAGCCGGCCAACAGCTTGGGCCGCATTATAGGTATCCAGCGAAGCTAATCTAGGGGGTGCATGGGGGAGTGGTCAAACTGTTCCCTTGAGGGGCAAGGCCAGAAGAGCGCTTGGAAATTTGGAAAATGGGTTGGGGGCACTGTGCGTTTTTGAGGATGTTTCAAGGATGTTGAAAAACAAAAACGGCAAACGCTGCAAATTGCATTGCTGGAGTCCCGGACTCTTGATCCAAAGGCATATCACTCCCCTGTTTTTAAGCGGGTGGTCCGGTTGTAGCTGATTAACGGAGTGTGTTACCTAGAGTGTTGCTCCAAGAGTGTTTTCAGAGGGTGCCTGACCATCTGTATCAGCAAGAAAGAGGCTGGCTTTCGTCCCATTCTCTTCTCATAAAAAGAATATCTCTATATATATATATACTGTTTAAGTCCAATTTTTCTGTTGCTACTATTTTTTGGCTTCCGCCAATACAACGAGAAGGCGGTTTGCCTGGCCTCTTGCTTTGCAGGGCAAAGTCGAGTAAACATAGTCGATGGTTCGTCGCGCTCCAACCACCGCTTGTGGCCTCAGTGACTTTATTTCTCGACTGTGGAGGGGTCTGTCATAATCGTTCTGCCCTCGCCGCCTTAAAAAGCACCAGTAAACACAACGAAACAAAAACAACCATCCCCCACAAAACAAAACTCCCAAGTTTTGTCACGTGGGCAGAGACGAAGTTTCTAAATTCTCGATTTCTGTTTGTTCTTGTTCATTTGTTTCCTTGGACCCAATGTTTGCGCTCGTTTGCGCGAAGTGTTTTTGGAGTGACGCTGCATGTGCAAGAGGTCACTCCGCAGAACAAACTTCACAATAACCTCGCAGAACAAACTTCACCCCGCCCACAACCTCCTGGTTTGAGCCCAACCAGCCACAGCAAAAGAGCTTGCAAAAAACTTTGTTTCCAATAGACCGATCCTTTCTGTTAGTTTTTTCGCAACAAATTCTGGTTGCACAGGTCAAAGCTGTTTGGATGCTGAGGTTCGACGAGAAACGAAGACTCTTGGGCCATGTGGCATCGCGCTCTTCACATCGAAGCAGGTGGTGGCGCCGGCGCACGGTAACAGACTTGACTTGCACTAGGTTTCTCGGACCGGGGATCGCTTCCTTTTCCAAGAGCACGGCAACAGATCCTTATAACGATGCCATGCCGAGCTTTTTCTTGTGCATGACTGCGGTCCCCGGGTCTATTTTTGAGTGTGGCCGGCGGCGCAAGACTAGACGGATGATAGCTGACACGTCGGATGGCTGACATGCCTTGCGTGCACGGAGTTCTTCAAAATGTCAAATAGACACCAGAAGGCCAATCATGTTTTGCGGTGGTTTTGGGGCAAGGGAGCCACTTCTTTTCGGGGGGGGCGCAGAACATCATAGTTCTCCCTCAGGGCAAAGACCAGGCAAAACCCAAAGCAAAACAAGTAGAACATTCTTCTACAAGCTCTGACAGGTCACGCTTTCACCCACTCCCTTCCTATACTGTACCCCGACTTTGGAGCAAGGATCCAATGGAAGAGGAGCCCATTGTTTTGGGGATCTTCCCCTTGCTCAGCCGTCGCCGTCTATTGGGAGGTGGTGGCTCGCTCCTTGCCGCGGCCGCTTCTTTTGAAGCTTAAAGCTTGCAGAAGATGGGCTGACCGACGGACGCGGGCACCTCTTCGATCGTTTAAGTCAGCGCCATCCCTGCCACCACGGATAAGGAGCCCCTGGTCTTTGGCGTGTTGGGTTTCGTCCGGGGAATAGAGGAAAAACTTTGTTTTCTGGAGACGCTGCGTTGCCTTGTTGGTGGAAAGGAAGAAAAATGGATCTTCAAACCCGGTAACCCACGGGTGAAAGTAGTTTTCACTCGTCTTTTGCTTCCCTTTCATAAGGTCCCATTTTTGTTCAATCACCTTTTGCCATCACTCTTCTGCCCAGCTATCCTGCTTATTTCTCACTAGGTCAAATGCTTTTTGGTCACGAGTCACAAGCACGAACGCTTTATAAGGGCAAAATAAGGGGCAACCGTTGTCTAAGCTCCCCTAACTCCTTTATACGAGGAGTGGGAGTCGGGCCGCAGAAAACCTCTGTGGCTGGGGGCTCGTCACCGCTTAGAGGTGCAATGGCTGCTGAGCGGAGCGGTGCGGCCAGCTGGGCACACGCCCGTGGAATCGGATAAAAATTTGTGTCGGCCTTGCGGAAGTCCTGTGGTGTGGACGGGACTGTGTGACAACATAGTTGCTCCCGCATTCTTTGAGCAAATCCCAAGTCCCAAAGCAACCCCGTCATAGGATTGAAATCTTTGATGAGCTCCTCATGTTTGCCAAGCAGCCTCAGCAAAAGCCCAGTGTCCACAAAAGGTTTTGCTTTATGTCTTGCTCCTCCCCTGCCTTGTGGCATCCCTCTACCAAGGGCAGCTCTGTCACCCTATAGGGAGCTTTTCCTACCCTGCTGTAGCTGAGGGCCAAAAGCAGGCAACAAATACATCACAACAAAAGAGACAAAAGTCAATACCAAAATCAATATACAAATCAATACAAAAAATCATTTTAAACACCAATAGAAATCAATGGTTGAAATCAATAGCAGAACCAATAGAAGGAGATCAATCCAATCAATATGCAAAAATTGTTTTTTTGAATGTAAATCAAACTTTTCAAAATCAATAGGAAAACCAGCAAGTATATGGATTGTAATCAATATTCGATGCTCAGGGTAGGTTGAAGGCCATCGCTATCAAGTTGGAGGCCATCGCTATTACGTTGGAGGCCATATTGCTAGTAGGTTGGAGGCCATCGCAATTAAAATATAGGTTAGAGGCCAGCGCTATTAGGTTGGAGGGCATCGCTGTTAGGTTGGAGGCCATCGCTATTGGGTTGGAGGCCATCGCTATTAGGTTGGAGGCCATCGTTATTGGCCTGGGTTGGAGGCCATCGCTATTGGGTTGGTTTTTGGTTTAGTTCGTGTCAAGCTTCGACTTCGATCACCAGCGCTTTGGCCAGGTCGTGGCTCCGCACCCTCCTGGTCCTCCCTTTGCCGGCCGAGGCGCAGGTGAGGCGAGGAAACGTTCAAAGAACGCTCACCGAGCGTAAGATGCAGATCTCAGTTGCCAGCAGTGGGACAAGTTTCTATATATGTGACTAGATGTTTTTTTTTAAAATGCTCTTTTGTATTTGGTGTAGCATCTAGAATCGTTTGGCTATCTATTTATGTAATTATTCTGCATCTACAGCTGCCCTAGGCATTTGCTACCTCTTGGCCCAAATTTCTGCAGGGTACTGGCGTGTAAGACCGAAGACGCTATGTCGAAGACGTTGAAAAACACCCGCACAGTTTTAGGGTACATGCGGTTTTCTCCTTTACCAACACATGTTTATTAAAGATACTTTTCAATTTCAATGTTAGCATATGCCACATTGTCCTTGACATTGAATCTTTACATCAAAAGCTGGTTCCAGGTCTCTGCGGGCTTGAGGAGCGCTCTTGTTCAAGAAAGTGCTGAAGAAGTAGAGCAGTGTAGGACCACACGTGCGTCCCAACCTAGACGCTTACTTAAGCTACTGGCCACCTCTTCCCTTTAGCGGCCGCTCCCCCCCAATCTAGCATTGTTAGCATATTGAAACACTTGGTCGAGGAGCCTTGCCCGGAGCTCTCGGCCAAAGCCAGAGACGGGGGTCCAGCTCAGCAGCCTCGGTGTGATGGAAGGCACGCAGCCACCACGGCGGTGGCGTACGTTTCTTTTTTAAAGATCGGATAGATCATTTTTGGAGCGCAAAAAATACGTTTGTTTCATGCCAAACCTCGTGATGGATCTTTTGGTCCAAAATGGACGAAGGTGGCCTTTGCTACCTGAGTTCACTTGCTCTAGCTCAGCATTGAGGTGGGTCCCAGGTCTCATGCCTTTTTCCGCTGAATTCTGGTCCACTTGGGTCTGAGAGCTTCATCTGGCAGTTCTGTGTAATGCTTGGGTCATTCCGGCTGGATAAGACATCAAGTCCACGTATAGCTATGGTGGATATGGTCAATTAGGACTCCTTGCTTTTTGGCCAAGCCTGTGTGTGTTCCTAGTGCTTGGATGAGGCCAAGCAGATGAGAGTGGCTTGCACCTGGTGGCTGCAGAGGTGTTGGGCTCCAACAATCAAAGGATCACCGTGACTGGGCAACACCTTGTGGCGGCAGTCGTGCTGCCATTGTGCTCGTGGGGCTTTCTTGTTTCTCCTTGTTCCGTAATTTTGCCCAGCCAAAGTGCTGACTTGTCCAAGGCTCCGGACAGTGGCGGTCTTCAATAATTTCCCCGGAAAACTGGGCACCGTGGGGGTTCTTACTTCTCTTAGAGTCGGGCTCTCATTGCAAATGTTGGTCACCTGGATGCTTTTTCCTGCTTCTTAGTTTAGAGCACTTTCTTCTAGGCCTGCGAGCCTAGTGAAGAAGGCATCAGTGATCACCAGTGTATGTTCGGACAGATGTGCTTTGTCAGCATTTTCGATGATTGATCGCAACTTTCCCACCCGGACCCTGGAATCCTGAGACTGGAAGGCCCTGATCCCAACTGATATTTTGGCATTCTGGAGCCAGCCTACTATAACTATTTTTGCATATTTCCCCAAACAGTTTACTGTTAGGGGTTCTCAATGCTTTAAAGAATGGTCGCCTTGGTGCTGGATGGTCTGGTCGGGTTCCCGGCCGGCTTGTCTCCCACTTCCTCATTTGTCTCCCAGTTCTTTTCATTTGTTTCCCAGGCTGGGTGCTGGCTTGTCTCCGACTTCCTTTCATTTGTTTCCCACTTCTTTTCATTTGTCTCCCACTTCTTTTCAATTGTCTCCAGTTCTTTTCATTTGTCTCTCAGGCTGGGTGCTTGTGGTCGGGTTCCCGGCTGGCTTGTCTCCCACTTCCTTTCATTTGTCTCCCACTTCTTTTCATTTGTCTCCCACTTCTTTTCATTGTCTCCCAGGGTAGGTGCTTGTGGTCGGGTTCCTGGCCGGCTTGTCTCCCACTTCCTTTCATTTGTCTCCCACTTCTTTTCATTTGTCTCCCAGGCTGGGTGCTTGTAGTCGGGTTTCCGGCCGGCTTGCCTCCCACTTCCTTGCATTTGTCCCCCACTTTTTCGCCAACCAGTTTACTGTTAGGGGTTCTCAATTCTTTCTTAAGATGTGTCCGCCCTTTGTGTCACTGCTGGTGTCCGAGCATTTCTATTCATTTGTCTCCCAGGTCTGTCACTGCTGGTGTCCGCCCTTTTCCGGTGACCATGCAGCATTTCTAGTCGTTTGTCCCCCAAATCTGTCACTGGTGGTGTCCGCCCTTTTTCGCTGGTCGTGTAGCATTTCTATGCATTTGTCTCCCAGGTCTGTCACTGCTGGCGTCCGCCCTTTTCGCCGGCCATGTAGCATTTCTATTCGTTTGTCTCCCAGGTCTGTTACCGCTGCTGTCCGCCCTTTTCCGCTGGCCATGTAGCATTTCTATTCATTTGTCTTCCAGGTCTGTCATTGGTGGTGTCCGCCCTTTTCCGTTGGCCATGCAACATTTCTATTAATTTGTCTCCCAGTCTGCGGTGTCCGCCCTTTTCCGCTGGCGATGCAACATGTCTATTCATTTGTTTCCCAGGTCTGTCACTGCTGGTGTCCGCCCTTTTCCGATGGCCATGCAGCATTTCTATTCATTTGTCTCCCAGGCCTGTCACTGGTGGTGTCCGCCCTTTTTTGCTGGCCATGTAGCATTTCTATTCATTTGTCTGCCACATCTGTCACTGCTGGTGTCCGCCCTTGGGCGCTGGCCATGTAGCATTTCTATTCACACTGGTGATGTCCGCCCTTGTCCGTTGGCCATGAAGCATTTCTATTCATTTGTTCCGCTGGCCATGCAGCATTTCTGTTCATTTGTTTCCCGGGTCTGTCGCTGGTGCTGCCGCCCTTTTCCGCTGGCCATGTAGCATTTCTATTATTTGTCTCCCATGTGATTTCTTTCTTTTTGCCTTTCAGGTTTGGTGCCTGCGCTGCTGTTTTCTGCCCTGTCCGCTGGAACAGGTTCACCTGTGAAAGGTTCTTGCTCCTTTGAAAGGGGTGCGTGACTGTCTCCGGGATTGCATTCCTGCCACACTGTGTAACTCTCTCCGCTTTGTTTTCCTTTTCGGGCAAGCGTTGGATGAAAGACCGGATTGATTTTCGGCGGCGTGGCAGCGATCTCTCTGTTCAGTTGGGACGGAGGGCGTACGTCACGCGCCAAAAATCAATTTCATGTCGCATCCTTCGCTCCCCATGCTTTTATTTCTTGTCCTCACGTGGTCAGCTCCCCGCTGATTGATTCATGTGTCTCCCAGCCTGTCACTGGTGGTGTCCGCCCTTTTCCGCTGGCCATGTAGCACTTCTATTCTTTTGTCTCCCAGGTCTGTCATTGGTGTCTATTGGCCATGAAGCATTTCTATTCATTTGTCTCCCAGGTCCATCACTGCTGGTGCCATGTAGCATTTCTATTCATTTGTCTTTCAGGTCTGTTAGTGGTGGTGTCCGCCCTTGTCCGTTGGCCATGAAACATGTCTATTCATCTGTTTCCCAGGTCCGTTACTGCTGGTGTCCGCCCTGTTGGCCAGGTAGCATTTCTATTCATTTGTCTCCCAGGTGTTTCACTGCTGGTGTCCGCCCTTTTCCGCAGGCAATGCAGCATTTCTATTCATTTGTCTCCCAGGTCTGTCACTGCTGTGTCCGCCCTTTTCCGTCGGCCATGCATCAGTCTCCCAGGTCTGTCACTGTTGGGTGTCCGCCCTTTTCCGCTGGCGATGCATCATTCTATTCATTTGTTTTCCAGGTCTGTCACTGCTGGTGTCCACCCTTTCCGCTGGCCATGCAGCTTTCTACACTGGTGCTGCCGCCCTTTTCCGCTGGCCATGTAGCATTTCTATGCATTTGTCTCCCGTGCGACTTCTGTCTTTTTGCCTGGTGCCTGCGCTGCTGTTTTCTGCCGGACTGTCTCCGGGAGTGCATTCCTGCCACACTGTGTAACTCTCTCAGCTTTGTTTTCCTTTTCGGGCAAGCGTTCCATGAATGACCGGATTGGATTTTGTGACAGTCTCAGGGCATGCGTCAGGCACCAAACATCAATTTCATGTCACATCCTTCGCTCCTCATGCTTCTATTTCTTGTCCTCACGCGGTCAGCTCCTTGCTGATTGAGCAGCATGACCAGCATCATGTTCGCACTTGAAGAATAATTCCCCAAGAGGTTTACTGTCAGGGCTTCTCAATTCTTTCTTAAGATGTGTCCGCCCGCTCTGTACTGCTGTGTCCGTCTTTGCCTTGCAATCCTCTACACTCGTCTCCCAGCTCTGGGTTGCTGTGGCCGCCTCTGCCTTCCAGTCCTTTGTCTCCCAGCTCTGGACGTCGCAAGCTCTAGTTTCGATGTTGAAAAACACAAACTGTTTGGGGTCTACGGTGGTGTAATTTTCATATAGCCCTATTTTGCATTCGGGATCCGGTCTGGTTGGTGTTTACGAGAGGCTGAACGACCGCATTAGCACATTTCATGCGCTTATCCAAATGCTATTTGTGGTTTTTGACTGTGTAGTGTGACGCTTGGATGTCAGTTTTGTGTGGGAGCGGAAATATGTAAAGATGCCCACGGAGTGCAAACACAGACGTGGAATGCCCAAACTCCATACGGTTGCACCTAAGTGAAGCCTCACTTGCACCTCAGCTACTAGGAACAAGCGCATCGCTACTAGTAACAAGTGCCTTACTAGTAGTAACAAGAAGCTATCAGCAGTTGGCGGAACTGCAGAGCTTGACAATCGTCAGGTGAGCTTCAGCACCTCTTGGCCAGTGACATCGGAGCAGTCGATTGTTCCAAGTTCTGAAGATGTGACTGTTCTTTCTCAATTGCATTCTCATATTTGAGAGAGTCTCTTCATCCCCATATATGGGCTGGAACTCTGATGACTTGAAGAGATACTGTAGAAGGTTTCAACAAAATGTGAATACACCAAGAATAAGCTACTAGGGGCTCCTGGCATCGCTACCAGGAACAAGGACGCTACTAGGGGCTCCTGGCCTTACTACTAGGAGCAAGAGGCTTCTATTACTAGTAACAAGACGGGTCCAACAAGAGCACTCCCTTCGACTTCCGGCCACGATGGCCAGGACCGCAGTGCTTCCAGCAAAAGCTTAGAAGTCCGATCCAAAGGCCAGACACAATTTCTTGAGCTCTTGGAATTCAACGAACTCGTTCTTACAAGAGACCAAAAGATCCTTAATAGTAATTAGATGAGATGTTTGGATGGTTCTATTTGGACGATTAAGCAGCCGCACTGTTCAAGATTACTTCTTACTTCGAGGTATGCTTAGGGAACAGCCATTTGACGCCCCTCTGAATTGTCAACAAGAAACAATGTTTCACACCTATTGCATGGAGTGCCTGACCGCGACATGTAGCTGTGCTGGCAATTCGCTTGATTGCTTCTGTGAGGTGCCACCATCTTCCTCCAGGCGCAACCGAGTAGAAAGCGTTTGTGCGAAAGCACAAGGGACGCAAGCTGCAAACGTGGGTAGTGTCTGCTTTGCCAAGCGTAGCGGGCCATGTGGGGGAGTCCAGTTGAGATCACAGCCGGCTCTTTGCGCGAAGTCACGGCGTCCTATTGCGGAATGGGAATTATATGGAATTATACTGTCTCGCTATTAATTAGGTTGGAGGCTACTAGGTGGAGGACATCGCAAGTAGGTTGGAGGCCATTACTACTAGTAACAAGGACGCTACTAGGTGGAGGGCATCGCTACTAGTAACAAGGGCCACGACGACACGCAAAGTAACCTTAACATACTGTCACGGACCTTCACTATTTTATCGATATTTATTGAGTAATGGCAATGGCCTCCAACCTAATAGCGTCCTTGCTCCTAGTAGCGATGCCAGGAGCCCCTAGTAGCTTCTTGCTCCTAGTAGTAAGGCCAGGAGCCCCTAGTAGCTTTAAGGCCACGCAACCTATCTTGTGTCACGCATTGAGGTGATTCGAGGCTTGGCCCTCACAAGTGAGAACCTCGTCGAAGAAGTGCTGAGCAGCAAAGGCCTCGGGTTTGGTGTCAAAGACCTAGGGCCTTTGTATGTCAAAGAGACCTGGGTCCTTATGTCATTTATTTAATGCTTTCTTTTTCTGAGACGACATTTCTTCATTTTTCCTGTATTTATACTAGCAACAAGGGGCGTAGCTACTAGGAGCAAGAAGCTACTAGGGGCTGCTGGCCTTACTACTAGGAACAAGAAGCTACTAGGAACAAGGTGCATCGCTTCCTTTGTCCTTCCTTCCTCGCCTGACGTACAGGCAAATTCGGTGCTTACGGCCTTCCGGACGCGGTGGAGGTGGTGAAAGACAACATCCAAGATGACAGGACACCACAATGGCCTCCAACCTAATAGCAATGGCCCTAATAGCGTCGTGGTTGTTTGTGACAGCTCGTGCCATCCAAGAAGTACGACTGTGACTCACTGGAACTTGTAAGGGAAGTCTGCAAGCTTTTGCTGATGTTGTAGGAGGCAGATGACGATCCAGTTCACCTCCTACTCTCCAAGGGGTGCGCATGCCTTAGCAGCATGCCTTCTGGCAGCTGGAAGCAATTGAATCTATGCATTGCAATGCTACAGTGCAGTGCTTCTCAGTCTTGAGAGCACATGGCTTTGTGGCTTTGCATTGATTGGGCATGCTCGAGGTGGGTTTCTCATACCGGGCCATGCTCCAAGCCATCCCAGTGAATGGCGACATTTTCGTACTGGCCTGGGTCGTCAGACGCTGGCTGGATGGTGAAACCGAGTGACTTGCACCACGGCACGAGCACTCCACCCGTAGTTGCATGTAGTGAGAATCTTTACTAGGGGCAAGGACGCTACTAGGAACAAAGGGCACCGCTACTAGGAGCAAGGACGCTACTAGTCTTCACCTTGGGGCCGGCGTGGAACATGACCTCAAACGGACGAGGGCGAAGACACAAGAGAAACGGCCGCTTGGAGTTTGGGATGCTCCAAGGTGGGATCAGCCCTGGAAGAGAAATGGCCCGAAGACCAGATACGCCGGACCTTAAGCGTCTCAGAAGATATTAGACCTTTCTTCCTTTTCCTTTTTCTCGTTGTTTCTAGTAGCGATGGCCTCCAACCTAATAGCCCAAAATTAAAAGCCTGGAAGCCTTCTGTTGTGAAGTTCGAGATGGTTAGCGGTGTTTGCTACGTTGCCTGTGACCTTGTAGCCATTTTGCCTCAAGTTCCAATTTGCCAACGAGAGACATGCAGCAGTGAGAGAGATGGAGGAGGTGAAGGAGACAAAAGAGGTGGGCCTGGTTTTTGGCATCACCGCCAACACGCAAGTGGGGGAGAGCATTCTCATCGTGGGGGAGGCAGAGGAGCTTGGCAAATGGAATCCCGATAAGGCTGTACAGCTCTGCACAGATCACAAGAGCTACCCAGTGTGGAGCAGCGCGAACCCAGTGTGGATTTGCCCCAAGCCAGGGCGCAAGCGTTTGGAGTACAAGTATCTAAGAGACCGGAGAGAATTGGGTCAAGGCTATGTGTGGGAAGATGATATTCCCAATCGTTGCTTGACTTTGCCACCTGGTGGCGTTTGGGTCTTGACCGATCGTCTTTGGAATTGTCCCGGGGAGTTGAAGATTCGTCCTGGCTCTCGCCATGGCAGCTTCGAGAGTCGTCGTGCGTTGGTGCAACCCATCGACTGCGACATCGGAAGCTCAGTGCCTGAGCACCTTTTCACCCCAACGCAACGGAAAGAGACCAGAGAGATGACACCAAGCGTAACACCAGAGGCAAACAGCAAAAAGTGGGCCAGTCTGGGGCCATTCGTATACACTTCTAGACTAAATTGTAGAACTTCTAGACAAGTGTCCGAAGGATTCCAAAAAGGTATCTGAAGCCCTGCACCTTAACTTGTGCAGCCCTGCAGGCAGCCCAGGCAGTGCGACGGGGCAGCTCTTCCTTGTTGGATGACGCGCCGTCACCCACATCGCCGGAATCGCCGACGTCACCAACCGGCAAAATGCTCCAGCGTGAGGCTAGCGCCTCGATCCTATGCCGACAAGCCTCGGACCTCAAAAGAGACTCCAGCCAAGCACAGATCGCGCAGATGGCACAATTGGCAAGTATGCAGGCAGCAGATTGGGTTCAAGAGGGCTCTCGAATGTTTTTGATGTTGGGTAGATTGGCGTGATGGTTTTAATAAAGGAAGGAAGTTTGTCAATGTCATGCGGACCGTAGACACTGCCTTGTATTCTTGACATTTCTTGACATTTGGTGACCCCAACTCTGACATGGCAAGTCTTGGGAGGCTCTGGCCCAAGAAGAGGAAGAAGAAGAAGCAGAGCGACAGCCTAGCACCATCATGACCTTCGACCAGGCTGGCAAACGACGGTCCAATTTCAGCCGTAGGCAAGCTTCTTCGATACGAGAACAAGCTAGAAGGAATGCAAGCATCACAGCCAGAGAATCACATCTGGCGAAGAAGCAAGCTCGGCGGATGTGTACGTTTGAGAAGCAAGACACAAGGGCCACAAGGTTGTTCCACTGTGTTCCACTTGGGATTCAAGAGGGTTCTTTGCAAAAGAGAAGACACGTGTACCCTTTAAGTGCCGTTGCAACTCATGGCGGCCTTTCATGAGAGGCCTACATGTTGGTGGGTGATGAGCCGTTGGGTGAGGGTTCCTTTGGCCTCGTATGGCGCTGTCAAAGCCGCACCCGTGATGGCGACGCGGCGGGTGGCAGCGAGGAACGAGCTGCAAAGCGAATTACCCGAGGGCGCTTGGCCAAGCGAGACGAACGGAACTTGTTTGGCGATGGGCATTCGGAAGGAGACAGAAAAGCCGATGGGGAAAGAGTGAAAAGAGCCCGAAGACTCAGGAAGATTTTGTTGAGCTTCCAGAGAATGTTTGGCGATATGAGTTTTGATAAGTATTCTTAAACCAAAAAAACCATGGGACCCCTTAACACACCACAGATCTCCCCTGTTGTCGCTTTTTAGCGCCCAAACCTGGAAGGAGAGATCAAGATGCACCAAACGCTTTCTCATCCGCACATCGTTGGGCTTTACGAAGTGTTTCAGGATGATGAGGTTATTTCACTGGTCATGGAGTGTTGCCAGGGTGGGGATCTATTTGACTTGATCGCCTCCCATGCGCAGCAAGGGGGCCTAGCAGAGCATTGTGCCGCGCGGGTGCAAGTGACTCATCTGCCAAATGAAAGAACGAGTCAGTTCATTCTATTTTTTCCTCAAATGTGCTTTAGTTTAAACCATGTTTCCCTTTTCTTGATACGGGTTCTCCCAAGTTGGCACAGGTGAAAGACCAGTACTGTACTGGGATTGAGGCCCCCAAACTCGTGGGCCATCCACAGTCCTAGTGCGGCTTCAGTACTCTGGCATCACAGTTCAAGAGTCTCGATTCCCTCAGAGGCTTATATAGTTGCGTAGCCCCGGGCTGACGGAGTCAAAGCAAACCTGTTGCAAACAAATTGATCAGCTTGAGAGCATCCAGGCGATTGTAGCAATTCACTCACGGCTTAGAAGGAAGCGAAGGATGCTCAGGAATGCCCCAAGGGCCCAGTGAATGAATGGACGATGATCAAGCTTACTTAAACAAAAATCGCAGGCCCTAGTCTGAGACCAAGTCTCACAAAAGGGCCCAAGCCAACTGGACTGGGTACAGGATGTAACCAGCCTGTAGACCAACTGACACTGAAAGGCGCACCCCTGCAGACACATTCGCAAAAAGTGACTCTGACTCACTGAAAAAATGATGGGTTTGCCAAAGGGCGCCTCGAGACTTCGAATGGGGGACTCTGGCACCGATGGGTTGGTACTCATGGGGCAACAAAACCAATTGGAAAGCCTTGAGGCATGCTCGGCACTGAGTGATCACAAAAACAAGAATCAATCTCTAAAATACGTGTATGCCGGTTCGCTTGATTCAGCCAATTCAACTTTCAAATTCAGACCCTCCGAAGCCGTTCAACTGAAGCGTGGAAAACCACAAACGCGTCAGGTGCATTTGCTTTCCGCCATTGCCTTTTTGCACGAGCTCCCGGTGGTCCATCGTGACGTGAAGTGTGAGAATGTACTTTTGGCGCAGAAAGGCATGAATGAAAAGTGTGTGTGTGTGTGTGCGACAGCTAAGCAAAATGTTTTTCCATGGTTTTCCCCCAGATAGCTGGAAGCTATAGGGGTTCTTACTTCTAAATGGATGGGTTCCGGATAGCGGAAATTGGCTGCCGCTGCCGCCTTGTTTCCCAAGCTTGTCTCCCTTCATGATTTCGCTTCTGGCTACCGCTGCCTGCTTGTCTCCCAAGCTTGTCTCCCTTCATGATTTCGCTTTTGGCTGCCGCTGCCGCCTTGTCTCCCAAGCTTGTCTCCCTTCATGACTTCGCTCTTGGCTGCCGCTGCCATCTTGTTTCTCCAGCTTGTGTCTTTTCATGACTCCGCTTTTGGCTGCCGCTGCCGGCTTGTCTCCCAAGCTTGTCTCCCTTCGTGATTTCGCTCTTGGCTGCCGCTGCCATCTTGTCTCCCAAGCTTGTCTCCCTTCATGACTTCGCTCTTGGCTGCCGCTGCCGCTTTGTCTCCCAAGCTTGTCTCCCTTCATGACTTCGCTCTTGGCTGCCGCTGCCGCTTTGTCTCCCAAGCTTGTCTCCCTTCATGATTTCGCTCTTGGCTGCCGCTGCCGCCGTGTTTCCCAAGCTTGTCTCTGTTCCTGATTTCGCTCTTGGCTGCGGCTGCCGCCTTGTCACGAAAGCTAGCATGCTAGCTGAGTTCTTCTTTGCTTTAGCAATGTTGTGGTGGGAGGGGCTGCGTGCCTTAAAGATTGATATATCAAGCTAACCCCCCCCCCCCGCGGTTCAACTCCCAGCTGCGCCGCTTCGCTTATTGTTGTGGTGCATACCACCATTCCACTGAATGAATTGCGTGATAGCTCTGCTGGTGTTCAGACAGCGGCAAGGTGTGCATATGTTTGTGCAATTGTTTGCATCTACAATCCTTGGTCAAGGCATGTCCTACGGTGAGCACGCTCCATTTCACCTCCATGCTACGTCGTTCCTTCAGCCTCCGTCCAGGGTTGGCGTCGTTTTGCTGGTTCGAGTGGCTCATTCAATGCAGAAGTTAACAAACTGATAGGTATAATGATAATGAGTTGCGTGTATATTTGAGATCATTTGAGGTAGTTCATGCTTTGCTACTTGTTGCGGCTTGGTGCTGCTGCTGCTGTTGCTGACGACGCCGCTGCTGCTGCTGCTTGCTGCTTGCTGCTTGCTGCTTGCTGCTTGCTGCCGGTGGTGCTGCTGCTGCTTGCTGCTTGCTGCTTGCTGCCGGTGGTGCTGCTGCTGCTGCTGCTGCTGCTGCGGCTTGGTGCTGCGCTGCTGCTGCGTGGTGCTGCTGGCTGGCTGCTTGGCGGTTGCTTCTGGCTGCTGGCTGCAGGCGGCTGCTTCTGCTGCTGCTGCTGCTGCTGGCTGCTGCTTGCTGCATAGGACTTGTACTTCACCCTTACAAGTTGTTTACCCTATTTCATAAGCGGGTGGTAAATTTACTCCCAAGGCTTGCTATAACCATACACAGGCTATTTCCTCAAGACACTCTATGCCTGATACTTTTTACATCCTTTTTACCAGTGCTTATCCTACACTACGGACGCCCTAGTGTTTGCACAGTCCTTGTGATGCCAGAAATGCTTACTCCTCTTTCCGGCACAAGGCATACATAAGCGGGGGGTAAATTTACCCCCCAGATTTCCAATAACCATAAGCCGGCTATTTCCTCAAGACACTCTATTCCATATACCTTTTACCTGTGCTTCTCCTACACTACGGACGCCCTAGTGTATGTACAGTCCGTATGATGTCAGAAATGCTTACCCCTCAAGGCATACAAAAGCGGAGGGTAAATTTACCCCCCAGATTTGCCGATCACGCATCTTCGTGCCTGCCAACGAGTGCACCCGGGTTGTTCCAATGTACCCTTCCCAGTCCCAGTCAGCGATGTCACATTTATATTCTTTAGCGCAAAGTATGTACATAGCAACCTTCCTCCCAGAACATGTACTCACTACATGCTTTGCCGACTATGTGACTAGTACATCCGGTGCGATTCGGCTAGCTTTCGACCTCCTCCCCCTGGCCTCAAGTCATTTTCTTGCCTGCCTTTGACGCGGATGCTGTTATAAGATGATTTAGGTTTTGTGTACCTTTTCCATCCTTTTCCCGGCTTTGAGTGGGATGTGAAGTGCTATCTGGGGTCTATGCCGGTATAATCCTCACTTTTGGTCATTGTTTGAAGTATTTTTGAGGCGATGCAGAGACTAGGGGGTCATTGGGGGCTGCTGTTCTATTCAATTCCTACACTGTCGCACCCCAACAAGCCATGCTAGATCTTTTGGTGTCAAACCCACCGTTTCACATATGGACACAATTGGCCGAATCCCATGAAAGAGTCTAGTGGCACCAAACTCGCACAGGTGTCCCACCAGAGCAGAACGTCTTCAAGTTGTGCGACTTTGGCTTCGCAGCACGGCCGCGGCCGCCGGCCTATCGTTTGCACACCCGGATGGGCTCGCCCGATACCGTGGCCCCAGAGGTGGTCCGTGGTGAGCCCTATTGGGCCCCGGTGGATTGCTGGGCCTGCGGCGTTTTGCTCTACATGTCCTTATCTGCATCGCCGCCATTCTATGCACAATCCGATGCAGAAGTCTTGAACAAGGCTGGAGCAAGTTCTGAAGTTCAGTGACATGGTTGTTTGATGTCGGTTGAGAGATTATTATTCTTGGCGGTCCTTGCAATTTGGTCAAGTTTGGCTCCCAAAAAAAATCGGCAAAGACATTAAGCGATTTTCGCCAGGTGAGGAATTGCATCTACAAGCTCGATGGCAAACGTTGGAGCTTTGTCTCTGACGATTCCAAGGGCCTCATCCGACAGCTGATGAAATTCGAACCGTCGGGCCGTGCCACAGCGAAGGAAGCCTTAGAGCATCCGTTCCTCCTCCGCGCGGGGAACCAATCGTGAGGGCACAGGACCGGATGGCCTGTAGCGGAGCCTAGCCGAGCCAAATGATCTAGCGGAGCTCTACTAGTTCTGAGAGTTTCTGAATCTAATTAATGCAGCTTAGCTTCAGCATTGATCAGTACATCTCGTGCTGAGAGATGCTTCAACTAGAGCTGAGCTTCTGACTGTTTCGATCTTCTCTTGTTGGGTCTTCAGCCCAACTTGGTTTCGAAGTCAGGCCGTGGGACATTACAGGTTGCAATCGGATGCAATCAGCCCGATCAGACCTGTTTATTTAGAAGTTTCCTAGCCTGGCTGATTGCAGATTTCGGGGGGCATCACGCAATTTCTTGCAGCACGGAACGGGCAAGGAGTTGTTTCAGTCTGAGACATCTTGTGAAATACTCATCCATCGTGTTATCGAGCCGTTCCCCTGTGGTCTGGCAACTGCGCAGGTGGTACAGATGGCACTAATCGGATACAAGCTCCGCCGTCTCACTCGTTCTGCCCAGACCCTTTTGCATCAGAAAGCTGAAAAGGGAAGCTGATGGAACAGAGAAGGTTCTTGTTACTAGTAGCTTCTTGTTACTAGTAGTAAGGCCAGGAGCTATGCCCTTTGTTACTAGTAGCTTCTTGTTAACATCACATTCGCCCAACTTTGAAAGTTGTTGGAAGTTGAAGTGGTTGGCTTACTGCATGGATGACATGATCTGACCGCCTTTTCCTCGAGTCAATTGCTACGCTGACGCTGCTTAATTGTAGATCTGTCAGTGGCACTGCTAGGTTCCTTTCGCGTGGATGCGTCCAAAGCAGCTGAGACTTAGCTCTTCCAGCTCTGGGCAGCTCTGGAAAGAGGGTAACAGGATACTGGAGCTCTGGCAGTTGGACGAGGAATGGATATGAATGGATGTGCTCGTCCACACAGGTTGTTGACGCCGTCCCCCCCAAAAAGAACAATGACTCAATGAATCTCACTGACATGGTTCATCTTACTACTGGTAACAAGTGCCTCGCTAGTAGTAACAAGTGCCTTACTAGCAGTAACAAAAAGCTATTAACTTAAACTAAAACTAAAATAATGGCTTCTTGTTACTACTAGTAAGGCACCTGTTACTACTAGCGTGGCACTTGTTTCTACTAGCTTCTAAAATAAATGGTTCATCTTTGCATTTAGAGTTCCAGAGCTTCCATGACATTGCTGGTCTCACCGACGCGCTGACTACCTCGTAGAAAGTCCGCCGTCTCTGGAGCACAAAGGTCCGAAGCGGTGGAGTCGGTGACAAAAGGGTTCGATGCACTTGTTACTAGTAGCTTCTTGCTCCTAGCAGCTTCTTGTT